GCAGCAACGGGGGTTCATATACTAGGAATGGGCCAACTGGGAAAACTACTTGGGAAAACTGGCAATATCTACTAAGGCTGGACAAAAGTGTATCTATATGACCCAGCAATTCCTTTCCTAGCTATTTCCCCAACAGAAAGGCATATATATGCTTACCACAAGACATGCGTTAAGAATGTTCAAAGTAACACTATTTAAAATAGCTCCAAACATATGTTTATTTATAAGACTGAGACAATATGTGTAGTTTCATATTTTACTTTTTTCATATATAGTGAGCATTTCCCCATGTCATTATCTTTAAATATGATTTTTGATGGTTATGGAATATTACATAGTATGGATAAATCATACTGTATCAGGCACTTCCTAATTGTAAGGCATTTTGCCACGGTTTTAATTTTTTATTTTGCTGTTATTACTAAATAATATTATAATAAGCATTCTAATATATAAGGCTTTATCTCTATCTCTAATTACATCCTTAGGATAAATTCTTTGAAGAGTATTTAGTGGGTCAAAAGATGTGCTTTTCACAAAGGCTGTGCCGGTTTACACTCCTAATTGTGACACATTAAAAGCAGGCTTCAGCAGAACTCCCTTCGTCACAGGTTTTCCTTTTAAACAAAAGTCTGCAAAGTGACGGGTGAAACATCATTTTGCTTATCACTACTAGGAATTAAACATTTTTCATATGCTTATTTCATCTGCTCATCTTTTGAGCACTCTTGTCCAGCTTTCTAATGGAGAGTTAGCTTGTTTCTTATTACCTGTTAAATAGTGTAAAGGTATTATCCCTGTGGCATACATGATACAAACACATTCTTCAAGTTTTTATTTTTATTTTGTTTTTGATAGCTTTTTTTTTTTTTTTTTTAAAGATGGAGTCTTGCTATGTCACCCAGGCTGGAGAGCAGTGGCGTGATCTCGGCTCACTGCAACCTTCACCTCCCAGCTTCAAGTGATTCTCCTGCCTCAGCCTCCTGAGTAGCTTGGATTACAGGTGTGCACCACAATGCCTGGCTAATTTTTGTACTTTTACTAGAGACGGGGTTTTGCCATGTTGGCCAGGCTGGTCTCGAATTCCTGACCTCAGGTGATCTGCTGGCCTCAGCCTCCCAAAGTGCTGGGATTACAGGCGTGAGCCACCGTGCCCAGACTGATTATGATGTTTGATGAACAGATCTATTTCAAATCTCTCTAACCGAGTTTTATCATTGTACTCAAACGTTTCTTCCTGATAGAGTATATCATGTTTCTCTTCTGGCTCTCCTCTAGTACTACATCATCAATCTGAAGCAATGATACTACTCTTACATCCTATTCGTAATGCAAATGAAGATAAGTCTGTTTTTGGCATTTACAAGCTCTGCACAACTATATGTACGTCTTTAAAATGAGAAGAAAGAAAAGACATATGTAGCAGGAAACCTATGTGCCTGAGGAAATTTTTGAGGTGTTGTACAAAATGGAAAGTTGTAAAAATGGAAAGGCTACATGTGATAACAACAAACCTTGTCTCAAATCTTACGTCATAATTTTACTTCTGAGTACCTTATGTATCTTTTATCGAGTTATGTTTCCTTTCAGTCTCTGTTAAAGGAATCTTACCTAGTTTTAGTCCCCTGAGCTTTTTCAAAATTACCTCCTTTAAAGCATAAAAGCTGCACAGGCTTTTATTTCTAGCTTTTCACAAATGATGATTTAGTTGCATTCTCCCAAACTTCCATCGTACTCTCATTAGTTCTGTTTAGCAAAATTAGGTTTGATAAAACAATTTCTCTGTTTTTGCTACTGTCAACAGGGCAAATAAATAATTTACCTGACTCTCTTCTTCTCAGAATCAAGAACAAATGAATTCATGTCTATACAAAGCATTCTATGGTATCACTTCTGTTTCTCTGCTCTTCAATTAAATACCCCATTTTTCATAGGTTGTATGAATTTACAGCAGATATACATTTTTTTCTTGATATTCTAGTGTTATTCTGTGTCTCTTCAATAGGTGGGGTTCCCTGGAGTAACTTAATCTCTGCTTGGGGTTCTTTGAGTTTTGTTCCAGTAAGGCCTGATGACTACCTATATTAAGTTGAATTTATTTTCTTATATTAAAGTCTCTCAAGATTTTGCTTAGTTTATGCCCTATATTCTTAACTTTAGAATATAAGCAACATTACGTGAGGCCTCACGTAATGTCCTTGAACACATCCTTCTTCCCAGTATTTACTACTATATAATCATGGGCACCTTGTCAACTGCCTTATGTCATCTATTTTATGTGATAACCTCCATCATATCCAGTTTTAGAATTTTACTGATATTTTTCTGTCTTCTCCAACATTTTCTGAATAAAATCTTGATCTGATGATCAAGTTACCAGGTGAATAAATTCTTTTAATTCCTGTGAGATGAAGCACAGAAATCTATTATTCAAGGGATCTTAGGTCACTCTCCAGAAAATAAAATATTTTTCTGAATAATGTTGTCTGATAATCAGTTACTATTTTTCATATTATTTCTCTTTCAAAGTCCCAATCTTCAATTAGAACCAGAGATATAGGGTCAAGGTATAATTATCATGTATTGTAACATCAATATGGGAACCAAATTCTTCATTTAGTTTCTTTTTCTAAGAGTTTCCTATGTCTCTGTTCACTTAACAGATAAGAAAAATCTATGGGTCCATTTGTTGATCCATACCACCTCTAAAGTATGTTATCAATCTCAAAATAAATTCTATTGCATACATAAACTGTGGTAGTATCTTCCAGTTTTAGAGGTTTTCATTGATAATTTTCCCCAAACATAAGAGATTAAACAACGCGTGCCACTACTGATAGGAAATCTGTGGTCCTTACTAAATCCTATAAAGGCACCTGCAGAAATAACAAAGTGTGTCTAACAGAAAGAGTTGTACATAAACACACTGTCCTCAATCTAATACAAACTTAAATCACTACGGTTGAAATAAAAGTACCTACAGTTTAGATTAAAATTCCAGTATAAACTTAGCATAAATCAGAAAAATGCCTCATGTAAAATTTAATGCTTATTAATGTAGGTCTTAGAAAGTTAGAAGATATTGGCTATACGCTTAATGATCAATGAGTTAACAAAGAAGTTTCAAAATGTTTAATAATCTAAACAGAAAGAACCATTTAGAAAACATGAGATTAAAAGATTACTTCTATGAGTCACTGTAACCTCAAGTTACTCAGTAATGTTTGGTAAATTTTCATAGTTAAGCAATTTGAAAACACGTGCAAATTAAAAATTTTATTTGCTAAAATGGCTTCTTGCTTCATTCATTCATTCTAACATGTATTGAATGACTTCTACATACTAGAACCTGTGTGAAGCTTTACATGAAGATTAAGTAACTAGCTAGAAAATTAAACAAGAACAGCAGCAACAAAAATCAAAAACAAAGGCAACATCTTAGCTAAAGGAAAAACAAAATAGTTCTTATACTCCGGTGGCAACTTATAACTTTCTCAAAAAAAAAAAAGAGATACACAACTTATCCCCTCAATAAACTGCTACTTGCATAGTATTCTATTGTGTTTTATGTTTTTATATTATAGCAATGCTTTTCTAACACATGATCAAAATAATTTTAGATTATTTTAACAGAAAAAAAGGGGGAACATAAAACTCCAAGGAAGCATATTTCTACATTCTAATAATGAGGGTACACAGAGGGTACACTTAACAAAATCTTAAAAATTTTTATATTTTAAAAGTTCCTAGCAAAAGTAACTGTCATAAAAATTACAAAAAGGAAAATACAGTTATGAGCATTTTTCAAAAGACATGTGAAAAACAAAAATAAAAACAAAAATTATGTATTACAGAAATAAAAGTCCCAAGCATGTGATAAACATGCAAATTCTAAAAGCAATCTAAATCATACACCTCCTTATGCCAGAAAGGCACTACCATGAATCTCCAAACGTATCTGAATAAGGTAGGTCTGTAGATGGAGGTTAAAAAATAACTTGGGAGTATTTTGATCACTTACTCAGGCCTTTTGATCCCATGTCGTCAGGGATCTCCTGTAGAGGGTAGTCCCCAGAGAGCAAGCAATAAAAAGATAATCAAAGAAAATAGTTGTCAGTAATGCATGAAATTGGTGCTACAGTAGGAGACAGTTCCAAGACCATTACAGGTACATCTATCTTACAGAGCATTTTTACAGATTTCTAGAACTTTGAAATGAGCTAGCTGCTAACTGTAATCTACCAAAAGAATGAAAGTTCTAGCAGGAAGGCTGATTCAGGGCGAGAAGCAAAATTTTAGACCATTTCTTGCTATTTTAAAAGTAAAATCCAGATGGTCTACATATAATGAAGAAATAGGATAAAATGGAATGATTCCAGAGAATCCAGTATCAAAGACTCGCAATGTTATACCTAGAAATCAACAGGTAGCTTCTCATGTATTCATGTTCCACCTCTAAAATATTCTTTGAATGTATGAATGTGAAGTGTTTTTCATAAAAATCTTTCCTTCAAATAATTGCATTGATTTGTACATATTTATATGTTCAAATTATAAACATATAACTGGAAAATAATGTTTGCTTTAAATTAATAATTCCTAAGGTACCAGAAAAAGTTAAGATAGGCATACAAATTAATTTATATCTGTTAAGTTGCCCTTGAAGACAATTAGCAACCTGCTGCAGCTCTTGAAACTGTCTCCATGGTAACAACCAACTGCAGGGCAGTAGGTCCCTCTCCATTTTATTTTCAGTTGACCACTGGATCCACATACTTACGGTCAGCATCACTTGTTTCCTGCTCACTCTGGTCCTTGTTCTTGTAGAAGGGGAATTTTCGGGAAAAGAGGTTCTTTTTACGCTTGTCATTGAATGACTGCTGAAGAAGAGAAGGAGGGGCAAAACAAAGGGATGTCTACTGTCTGTGTGTACAAAGGCCCAGCCTAGCAGCTCTGTGGAAGCTGACTCCTATGACCACAGTGTGCAGTTTGTATATGATTTTTACTTTAATCTCATGTAAAGTGAATTTCTACTTTTGAATAAATTCTAACATTTTGCAACTGAAAATACTTAAGAATTTCAAAGAGCGTAGTTCATTTATACCTAAAAATAAAAATGCTACTTGACAAAAAAAGGCAAATCAGTTACTACTACAGTACAAACGAAGCTAACATTTGTTTATACTAATCTACATTTTTCCAGAAAAATTTCCAAGTATTATGTGCTCTACAGCAAAAGATATTTAATGCTACTTTGCTGCTCAGTTACGTTTTATTCATTAGGAAGTAATCTTCGTTTTATTTTGGCCTGACCATAGTTATTCCTTTATCTCTTTTTTTTGGCTATGATGAGCTAACAGAAAAGTCATTGTTTAAAAAGTAAACCAAAATGATTATGAGAAAGTTGCTAATGCTGAATATTTAAAAACAAACAATTTTTTTTTTTTTGGAAGAGGATAAAAGGTAACTAAATGCTTATGAGCCAGAAAATGGGAAGAAAACTAAAAGGCCCATCAAGCACACAGACTCCAGCAAGAGATTTATCAATGCCATCTCTAGCCAAGCAAGAAGAGTCAGAAGTCTCCTGACCAACGTGAATGCTATCAGTACTGATTTATTTATTCTTAAGTTCTACTCTACTTATTTAAAAAAGTATACATAAATAACATAGAACCACATCCAATCATTGGCACCATGTCCTTCACAGGGAATAAAAAGTCTGGTGTCCACCAAAGCCACAAGGCAATTAAGATTCTAACAGTTTATATGTAATTGTAATGTGGGAGTTGAGCAGTTGATCTGATGTCTCTTATTGCACACATGTTGGAAATAAGTTTTTCCTTGAATATCCCATTTGTACATTCATATATTTAAGAGTATGTGGCACAAGAATGATGAGGCTATCAAAGAGAAATGGCTTCGTTTTGTTATTTCTCTGTCATAGGCGTTCATGTTTGGAAGGAAACAGGTTTACCTACCAGTGACACTAAGAATTACTAGTTTTTGGAGGGGGAAGAGAAAAATATAAAGAATAGAATTTTTTTGTTCTGATCTTTATGAGTTTATACACATTTTAAGATGCTGTATTTTTCATTATTTTGAAGCGTATTGACATGAACAGCATGTTTTTAGCATGTCCTTATTTTATGCATGCGATGCCAGGTGATTAGGGTGAAGTAGCCAGGTGCGGTGGCTCACATCTGTAATCCCAGCACTTTAGTAGGCCAAGGCAGGAGGATTGCTTGAGGCCAGGAGTTCAAAACCAGCCTAGGCAACATGGCGAAATCCCATCTCAACAACAACAAAAAAATTAGCTGGGAGTGGGGGTGTGCGACTGTAGTCTCAGCTACTTAGAAGACTGAGGCAGGAGGATCACTTGAACCCAGGAGTTTGAGGCTACAATGAGCTATGATCACACCATTGCATTCCAACCTGGGTGACAGAGTGAGAACTTTTCTTTAAATTAAAAAAAAAAAAAAAAAAAAAAAAGTGAAGTGGATTAAAGTGACTTTTAGCTCAAATTCTATGACTTGAGAAGACTTATTCTGATAAAGATCTTTATAAAAACAAGGTTAAACTTTTATTTTTACCTTTTCATATAATTAATTCAGGATTAATAAGTTCACAGTTCATTAGCCAAGCAGACTGTCTTGAAATCAATCTTAAAGTTTGAAGGCTCTGAGGAACTAGATAAAAAAGAACTCTAAGTAGAAGTTAAAAATTCAATCAACAGAAAAAGTATTGTGGGGAAATTTGGGCTTGTAACTATTTTATAAACTGTCAAGTAGCATTATTTGAATAAAAATCTTTGTTCAAATCCAAATTTTAGAAAGGAGAAAGAGGAGAAAGTGTTTTAGCAGAAAAAATTATGGTAATCTAATTTAGGGAAAAACTAAATCTTTTCGTTCATAAGACTCAATGGTTTTGAATTTAGCAATAATTTTTATATCTGATACAACTGATGTGTTTTTTATAAAAGTGTATTCATCCCTCTTACTGCATCTATAGTGGTCAGAGTCAGTTTCACAGCAAACAACCAAAAGAAACATGAAGTTTAAAATGTCTGATTCTTATTATCTTTGCAGTTAGCCAAAATGAGATATCATAAAGATATCATAATATAGGACAGAAAGAAATGCTTGTTAGTTAAGAAATGTATTAATTGTATCACATTTAATATCCTCCTGGTGAAGAACTTATTAAAGGTGAAAAAAATAGCACAAGCAACCAAGACAAAAATGTGTAGGGAAAACACAAAACTGAAGACTTGCTACCTCCAGTTTCTCTGTATTTTCAATCAAAAGTACTACATTTAATACTTACTGCCATTAACGCTATATTGTAAGAGAGACAGTGTAATATAAGAATTGATAAAATATCATAAATTCATGATACATATATTAAAAATCTACATACATAATTTCCACATGTAGTATTTCAAAATAGCCAAATGAATGTTAGACATGTTAGTGAGAAACTAAAATGTTGTAAGTCTGTAGTAAAAATAAAGTCCATAATCACTAGAACTATGTAAGGAAAGGAGGAGGAGGAGGAGGAGGAGGAGGAGGAAATGGTATTATAGAAAGAAATGCAGTTCTGATCAATGGCAAGCGTATTTTTACCCCACTCAGTATCATGCATAGCTTTGGTGCTGTGTTAGAACACAGTGACTCTGTATAAAGTTGGTTACAGTCAACAAACAAGACTAAGATTTAAACACGTCGTTAATTCAGTTAACTTCTTACAGTATGAAAGAAAAGTTACAACATGCAACCTTTTTCAATTTATTGATGGTATATTGTACTAAATCATTTTTAAAGATATACATAAAACAAGCGCAAAAAAATTCACATTTTTCAAATCCTGAGCATTTACCTGGGATTTTTCCTCTAATACAAATTTCTATTTTAATATTACTTCAGGTCACACTATATAATTTGGTATTTTTCTGAAAGCTACAAGTAAATTTTAAAGGAATTTACCATTTCTAAAAAACTGAATGTAACACACAATTTTCTCAGATTTAACTTCTTGAACCAAAGACATTTCTCATCTTTTAAATTTTAAAGCTTTAAGTCTGAGTGCTTAGTGATACCAGAGATGTTCAGAGAGTAAATTTATTTGCTAAGTTAACATTCCACATTCATTTCAAATATTATCAAAATTTTTATTAAAAAATTTTGTTTAGTATTAAAAAAAAAAAACCCCAAACATAAAACATTGCTATAAATGGTATTTACATAACATGTATTCAGTTTGGTCTCCAGGCTTACTGCTGGAATATTCCACTGCAGTGAGTTCAGGATTATTAACAATTACATCCACAATATGGGATGAAGCCTGTACCATCTTTCTCATCTACTGACAGCCCAAATATTTAGATGCAAGCAGGACTTAAAGTGAAGGAAAAATAAATACACTTCTAAAATATATTATGAAAGAAGTGATATATTTCTTTCCTTTTTTTTTTTTTTTGAGACAGGGTCTCACTGTGTCACCCAGGCTGGAGAGCAGTGGCATGATCATGGCTCACTACAGCCTGGACGTCCTGGGCTTAAGCAATCCTTCCACTTCAGCCACGGGGGCAGCTGGGACTACAGGTACAAGCCTTCACGCCTGGCTAATTTTTTACATTTTTTTTTTCAGAGATTGGGTCTCGCTATGTTGCCCAGGCTGGTACTGAACTCCTGGGCTCAAGTGATCCTCCCACCCTGGACTCCTAAAGTGCTGGGTTACAGGAGTAAGCCGCCATGCCTAGCCTCGATATATTTTTTTTTCTTTTTTTTTTTTTTGACAGGATCTCCCTCTGCTGCCCAGGCTGGAGTGCAGAGGCGCAATTATGGCTCACTGCAGCTTTGACCTCTGGTGCTCAAGCAATTATCTTGCCTCAGCCTCCCAAATAGCTGGGACTATAGGCATATGCCACCAAGCCTGGCTAATGGATATTTTCTTGATCATCTACAAACTTCTCCTCATGACTAGCACTTTGTTTCTGCCAAATAAAATTTCATATTGATTCCAACATTTAAAACACAGATTCTCTTAAGAAATTAAAGCAGGAATAATGTGGGGAAAGAACAAAAAAATTTCCAAAAATTTGCTTGCAACAACTTGTAAACTTAAGATTATGACTTAGCATTTCTGAAATGCCTATTTTCTTAGCAGGGTCATTATTAAATTATCTGCCATGATTAACACTAGTAACACAAATTTCTTTTTCTTTTTTGAGACAGAGTCTCACTCTGTCGCCCAGGCTAGAGCGCAGTGGTGCGATCTTGGCTCAATGCAAGCTCTGCCTCCCGGGTTCAAGTGATTCTTGTGACTCAGCCTCCAGAGTAACTGGGATTACAGATGCCCGCCACCACGCCCCGCTAATTTTTGTATTTTTGGCTTTGCCACGTTGGCCAGGTTGGTCTCGATCTCCTGACCTTGTGATCCGCCCGTCTCGGCCTCCCAAAGTGCTGGGATTACAGGCTTGAGCCACCGCGCCCGGCCGCAAATTTCTAATTGGAAGTTGAAAGAAGGTCAAATACATTTCATTTATAAAAATAAGCTTGACCAAAAGTATGTCGTTAATAATATACTGAATGATAGTTTTGATAATTTGGAAGGGTCTGTGAAATGGTTGCTTTAATTTAACAAATGCTTACTTAAGTATCTACTATTGTTAAGCACCATGGCAAGAACTGATCATGATTGATTCCTATAGCAAAATCCTTTTTATTTTAACAATGTAGCTCAAACAGGAATTATGAAAATGTAGAGATTTCAAATACTCACCCCTTTATCTCTCGTTTTAGAATTGAATTTCACTGTTTTTAATCGGGCTCGTTCTTTCTTCTCAACTCTGTCAAAGTACAGAATGTTATTTTTTTTAAGTAAAACAAACACATCTAAGGGTCTTACTAGAAATAACCAGAATTGATATCTTTAAAATGGGCATTTTTATATTGTAAAACCTTTAGGAGCCATCTAGGTTTGCATCCTCAAATTAGAATTGCTGAAAAATGAAACAAAGAGCTCATTTTATTATGAAACAAAACCTGATGCTATGACCTATCAATACACAGTACATAGGTGTAGGAGTATCAATACACAGTACAGACATGTATACTTTTATACGTATACTCAGTTACAAAATTATATGAAAGTATGTGGCACCATTTCTGAGTTTAACAATTTTCCAAGTTTTGTTTATTTTTAAGTATTAGCTTAGCATGAAGCACGTATGCTAAAAATTAAGTTTGAGAAAGAGAAAGCAAATGTGGCAAAACGTTAAAAATTGGTGACAGTGGGACAAGGATATGTGGATGTTCATTGTATATTGCCTTTTTTTGTACTCACTTTTCTATAGCTCTGAAACTTTTAATAATAAAAAGGTGGGATATTTAAAAATTAAGCTTAATTCTAATGATACGTGTGTGTGTGTGTGTGTATGTAAATATATAAATAACCAGTCACAGTTATTAAAGTAAGAGTTTTAAAGTACTTTTGGAAAGATACATAAGAACTGTTAAATCTTTACCCCATGGAGGTGAAATGGGTGTTGTGAGAGAGAGCCTATAAAGCTTTCACATCTTTTAAATTCTGAACTTTACCTATTGAAAATAAGCAAGCAAATAAAACTACAATGAGACAAATTTTTATGTAGATTGTAACACTAATGTAAATCTTATACAATTTCATGTAAATTAAGCTTTCATAAATTTTCCAATTTCAACACAGCAATTATGTTAGTGTATAACAGAAAAGCCTACCAAAGCAAGCCTATGAATAAATGTATTTTATTTTTTCCTTATTATCTCTCTATTTAGTTTTACTATGGGTACAGCAGGACCTTAGCATTCATGAATTTAAGTTGTAAATTTAAGTCCAGGAGTGGTGGCTCATGCCTGCAATCACAGCACTTTGGGAGGCTGAGGCAGGCAGATCACAAGGTGAGGAGTTCAAGACCAGCCTGGCCAACATGGTGAAACCCTGTCTTTACTAAAAATACAAAAATTAGCCAGGCACTGTGGTGCGTGTCTGTAATCCCAGCTACTTGGGAGGCTGAGGCAGGAGGATCAGTTGAATCCAGGAAGTGGAGGTTGCAGTGAGCCAAGATCGCGCGCCACTGCACTCTAGCCTGGGCGACACAGCAAGACTCCGTCCCCACCACAAACAAAAAAAATTAAAGCTCATGATTTTTACTATTCAAGAACAATTCTGAGGCTACATGACCTGAATAATTTATAATCTTGCCTAAGTACTTATTAACAGCACCACAAAACTAGCATTTAGCGGGTGAGCATTTACAACTCAACTTGATTTTCTAATCATTATCTTCTTTAGTACACAGCTCAGCAACTTAAATTGTCTATATTTGTAAATATTATTCCTGAAAGAAAGCCAAGAATTGTAGGAATTACAATTCCTATGTTATTTTAGAAGAGGTCTAAGAAAGACATAGTTCTATTTAAGAAAAGGTAAGTTTTGAATACATTCAAGAACCAAATGGCATAATTAGTTGTGGTTTCTTACTGTATTTCACGGGAGTAAGATTATATTCTGCAATGCTACTCATGAATTTGGAAATTGGCAGAGGTCTCAAGACATCTTTCTTACATTATTTCTTGCTTTAAAACAGAGTCTCACAGAATTTTTGTACAAACTGAAAACAAAAGTCTCTCCAATGAAGCCAACAGTGTTTATTATTGGGTGCAGGCACAGAAAGCCTTTGCAAGGTACGAGACTCCAAGAACTAAGACAATTTTTAGGATCTCTGACCTTGATATTTAAGATGTAAGATTTCTACTGACTCAACAAGGCATAGAGGAAGCATTTCCGAATTTAAAGCAGACTATGTTCTATTTCTGGAAAAAAGTTATGCTGATTGCTGCACTGCTAAAAGAGGATTTGCCATCAACTGTAAGATCTAGCCAAATAGTTGGATCGTGCTAAATATATGGATATAGCCACAGCAGTTATAAGCCCCAAAATCATAATTATAAATCTTGATTATAATTTAATACTACTACTTTTAAACTTCTACAAACAGGTAAATTAATATTTAATAAGGTCTAGAAATAGTTACAAAATAGGTATAAATCTGACTAATAAGAAAAGAGTACGTTTATTACAGCATAATCTTGACTTAAAATGAATTAACTAGTTATAACAAACATTTCTTTATTATCTCTAACTATTTTTGCTGGCTATCTTACTACTTTAAAAAGCTCCTAAAGAACTTCTAGGCTGGGTGTGGTGGCTCAAGCCTGTAATCCCAGCACTTTGGGAGGCTGAGA